CATTAGATCAAGGGCAAACACAACAATGGGATTGGACTTTGAGCACATGATAAAAGCGAGAGCACACAAGGGAGGGGTGAGGATAGGTAAGACACCTAAAAAATTAGCTAGCATTTGTTGCCTTTAGCGCAGAGAAACTAAAGCAGATACCTTAAAAGCAACTGAGGCCAATAGGAGAAAGGGACCAGGAACTAGAGAAAAGGTTAGATCAAAAAGAATTCACCTAGAAGGTAACACACACACACAGGAAATCAATGTGAGTCAATGCCCTGTATAGCTATCCTTATCTCAACCAGCAAAAACTCTTGTTCCTTCCTATTATAGCTTATACTCTCTCTACAACAAAATTAGAAGTAAGGGCAAAATAGTTTCTGCTGGGTATTGAGGGGGTGGGGGGGAGAGGGAGGGGGCGGAGTGGGTGGTAAGGGAGGGGGTGGGGGCAGGGGAGAGAAATGACCCAAGCCTTGTATGCACATATGAATAATAAAAGAGAAAAAAAACAAATATGTCCCATACATTCAGGATGGAGAAACCATCCATGATGAGAAGAAAAAGACAATATGGAGGAAATCCTCAATGGGACTTGTAGAAATGGAAAACTATCTCTGAGATGAAAGACAAGTCAGAAATTACAGGAGAAAACATGATGGTACATGCATGTAACTGAAGCAGGAGGATAGGGAGTTCAAAGCCAGCTTGGGCTATGGTGCAAGACCCTAGCTCAAAACAAAATAAAATAAAATAAACCAATAAAGAAAGGAAGGAAGGAAGGCAAAACAAATTGCAGGAGAAAAGTGAAACTGAAAACCTGGCAATAGAAACAATTCAAAATGAAATACATGTTCCTGGCATGCTAGAACTCCCAGGGTTTGATCCCTAGTGCAACAAAAGAAAGAAGCAAAGAAGGGAAAAAGGAAGGAAGAAAGGAAGGAAGGAAGAAAGGAAAGAAAGAAGGAAGGAAGGAAGGGAGGGAGGGAGGGAAAATGGAAGGAAGGGAAAGATGGAAGGAAGAGGGAGAGAGGGAAAGAAAACAGAGTTATCTGTAAAACAACATCAAGTCATCTACCACATGTATGTTATAGTCCCAGAATAAATGGAACTGTGGAAAAAATATTTAGTGGAATAATGGCTTAAATTGTTCATAATTAATGAAAATTACCAACCTGCAAAGTCAAGAATTTCAGACAAATACCAATATTAATAGAATTAAAGAAAATTGTGCCAAAGGTCATCAGTAATAACATTGAGAAATAGTGCTAAATAGAAAAATTTAAAACAGCTAAAGAAAAAACATGTACTAATGAACGCATGTAAGAAAAGTTTAGTTTGAGAAGAATTAACTTAGAAGGTAACACACATGTACAGGAAAGCAATGCGAGTCAACTCCTTGTATAGCTATCCTTATCTCAACTAGCAAAAACCCTTGGTCCTACCTATTATTGCTTATACTCTCTCTTCAACAAAATTAGAGATAAGGGCAGAATAGTTTCTGCCAGGTAGCGAGGGGTAAGGGAGGGTAAGGGAGGGAGTGGGGTGGGAGGGTAAGGGAGGGAGTGGGGGGTAAGGGGGAGAAATGACCCAAACATTGTATGCACATATGAATAAAATTTTAAAAAAAGAATGGCATTAAGCTACTTATTAGAATCTGTGCTTGACAAACAAAAATTGAGACACAGATTTTAAGTAATCCCTCCAAAACTATCAATAAATGCTCAAACTTTACCAACAAAAGATTTCAAATATAAAGACGAATTCTTTAGAAAAATGAAGCTGAGGAAAGCATTGCCATCAGACCTAAAGGAACACCCGGAAGACAGAAGAAAATCACGTACAATGGAAATCAGAGTTTACACAATGAATCTGAGGTCAGTAGAAATGATAAAGACAAGAGGAAATATAAAAAATTTTTTGTTTTAATGTCTTTGAAAAAGTCACTGTTTTCCCAAAGAATCAATGATCCAATGAAGAAATGGGCAAATGAACTGAACAGAGTTTTCTCAAGATAAGAAGTACAAATGACCAAAACACACATGAAGAAATGCTCACCATCCCTAGCCATAGAGAAAATACAAATCAAAACCACATTAAGATTCTCGCTCACTCCTGTTAGAATGGCTGTCATCAAGAAAACAAACAGCAAATGCTGCTGAGAATGTGGGGATAAAGGAACCCTCATACACTGTTGATGGGAATGTAAATTAGTACAACCACTATGGAAAACAATATGGAGGCTCCTCAAAAAATTAAAAATAGAACTACTACATGATCCAGCAAAATCACTCCTAGGCATAAACCAGAGGGAATGTAAGTCGGGTTACAGTAAAGATATCTGCACACCCATGTTTAGTGCAGCATTATTTATAAAAACTCAGCTATGGAAATAGCCCAGATGTCCTACAACTGATGAATGGGTTAAGAATATGTGATGTGTCATTCAGCTATAAGAAAGAATGAAATTTTGTCATTTGCAGGTAAATGGATGGAATGGGAGACTATTATCACATACTTTCTCTCATATGTGAAAGATAGATCCAATACAAACTCGAGCATCGCCATATATACATATAAATATATATGAAACATGTTTCAAAAAGTTGGATTGCTAGAGGAAACTAAGGAAAGAGGAAAAGAAGCAAAGAATTATGGAGAGCGAATAATTAAATGCATCACATCTGTGTAGGAATAAGACACAAGGAAATGCCCTGAAAAGTGTTAAACAATACAGAGTATGAAAAAGTAAGGAAGAGTAGTGGAGGAGTTTAGACTGATTTAAGCACAATGTATTTCCAGGTAAAATACCACAGCAAAATCTCCACCAAACTATGAACAGACACCTAAACAATGAAGGACAAATACGTAAAACAAGTCATGTTAAGGGGAAGGCAGTAGTGGGCAGGGGAGGGTAAATGAAGAAGTAAAGGGAGGTGAATATGGTTGATGCACTTTCTACACATGTATGAATATGGAACATTGAAACCTGTTGATGTCATTTTAAGAAGGGGAATGGAGTAGGAGGGAGGATAATGGAGGGGATGACACAAACCGGGGTATAATATGTGCATATATGGAAATGTCACAACAAAACCCCTTGTATAACTATCATGCACTAATAAAAATGCTAAAAGAAAACCATAAAGCAGATTGCCCTGTTGAATACCAAACTGAAACTAAATTCAACACTACATGTATAAAACAGTTATCTATTGTAACATAAAACAAAGTCAATTACTGTGAGAACTGAAAAAATAGTCACTGTTTAAAGCAACAACAGTAACAATGTATTTGGGGGTTATAGCATATATTAAAATGAAATATATAACAATAGCACAAGGGATATCAGGATGAAAATGGGTGTATTACTGTTGTAATTTTTATAGTATTTGTGAAATGAAATGGCACAATATTATACCACAAACCCTAGAGTTAAATATGCATGGTGTAAAATATGCACATTGTAAATCCCAGATGGTAATAACAGCAAAGAAAAAAGGCATAGGCAATATGGTAATATTGAGATGAAATTTTAAAAAGGAAAACATCTTTTACTAAATCCAAAAGACAGTAACTCAAAAGGAAAAAAGAAGCAGATGAAACAGATAATATACCTAGACATATACCAAACTATATCAATTGTCATATTAAACATAACAATATGCTTAAATTAAAAGTCAAAAATTATGTTAAAAAATAAGTAAGACCCAACTATGTACAAACTATAAGACAACCATATAAAGTATAAATAGGAGTTAAAGATGTGAATATATATCTCATGTAAAAACTACTGAAGAGAAAAAGGAAGTAACAATAATAATAATATCAGAGAGTGATGGAGAGGGTGAATTTGGCTATGATATATTGTAAGAACTTTTGTAAAAGACACAAGGTACCCCCAGCACAACAAAAATAAAAATAAATAAACAAAAAAGTAATATAGATGGAGTAAATGTGATCAAAGTACATTACATGCATATATATAACTATCACAATGAAACCCCTTTGTACAATTAATTTACGCTAATAAAATGAGGCTGATTAAAATTTTAAAAACATTAAGAAATGTTATTGAGACACAGATATTTCATAGTGATAAAGCAGTGAATCCACTACAATATATATGTACCTAATAAGAGAACTCAAAATAAATAAAGAAAAAACTGAAAGGCAGACTCATAGTTATTATTGAACATTTCAAAACCCCATTCTCAGTGATTGATAGAAAAAGTAGACAGAAAAAAATGGAACACAGGGAATTTGACAAATATTATAATTAACTTGGTTATAGTCAAAATTACAATGTAGTGAAAACTATCAAACTCTTTTTTGGATATCAGCAGATGTGAGTAATCTTTAATTATAGAGCAATCTAAAATAGAATTTTGATCAAAATGCAAAGCAACTGAATTTCTAAGGGAAGATCAAGATGTAAGGAAAAGAGCAAGCAGATGTATGAAAGGGGACCAAGTATAATTCTATCAATAAAAACTTTCACTTCTAAAAAATTTTTGAAATTGTCTTTCTGTGTGGTAGAATAAGCAAAAGTAGACAGAGAATTAGTAAAATACAGGAGACATATAAATAAATAGTAGCCAGTAAAGATAAGGATTTATAATAATAAATGATTAGTTAAATAATATTGGTAACATAAGATGGAGTATCTCAGATCTAATCTTCCAAAGAGATCAGGGTTTTTTTTTTTAATGTTTTAATCACATGATGCTAAAACTAATACTTGCCAATGTTTAAAATTTAAGTGATTCCTTATAAAAGTATCACTTTCCATTAAATTTAACATATTTTATAAATTTTATTTAGCTATTAATGACAGTATAAACTGTAGATTTCCAAAATGAAAGAGGAAAAATAAGACAGCATTCAGTCTGGCCAATACAAGAAGTACATAAAAGAGAAAAATGAAGAAAGCAAATAAGATAACATGATGAATAGAAAAATAGCAATTCCCATTTATCTTTGGTCTCTTTTAATTTGTTCTTGTCTTCTAGCATGATGGTGAGACACTTGTCCAACCAAACAAGAAATATAATGCAAAGGATTCATTTTACAAGTCTTCTACACAAAAGTAAGCTTTTTTTCCTGATAGAATTTTCATTTTAAAATAAACTTTATTTTTTTGACAGTACTGGGATTTGAACTCAGGGCTTCATGCTTGCTAGGAAGGCATTCTACCACTTGAGCCACTCCTCCAGTCCTAAAAATATAGTTCCTAATTCTTAATGACACATCTACTTTGTGTCAACAATATCCTGGATCTTGTGAGAAATTCAGAGAATATCAAAGGTAGACATCAGGGAGGGAGGGAGGGAGGGAGGAAGGAGATAGGATGAGAGGGAGGGAGGAAGAGGAGAGAGATACAGAGAGAGAAGAAGAAAAGAAGGGATGGAGGGTAAAGAGGAAGAGAAGGAGGGAGGAAGGGAGGAGGGGAAGGGAGGGAAGCAGAGAGGAGGAGAAGGGAGAGAGGAAGGGAAGGGGAGGGTGGGAGAGAGGAAGGGGGCAGAGGGAGCAAAGGAGGGGAAAAATGAGAGGGAAAGGGAAGGTGAGAGGGAGAGGGAGGGTGAGAGGGAGAGAGAGGAAGGGACATAGGGAGGAGGAAGGGAGAAGGGGAAAGGAGGAGGAGGGGGAGGGAAGAAAGGAGGGAGGGGGGAAGTGATGGAGAGAGAGAGGAAAAGGAGGAAGGAGAAATAAAGGAGGAGGAAGTAGGAAGGGAGGGGAAGAGAGGGAGGGAAGGGAGGAAAGGAAGGAGGTGGAGAACTGAGGGAGGAGGAGGAGGGGAAAGGAGGGAGGAAGGGAGGGGAAGGGAGGAGGGACAAGGAAGGAGAAGGCTAAGGCAGGGAGAGAAAAGAAGGGAGGAGGCTGGGGGGAGGAAGCAGGAGGGAGAAGGGCAAGGGAGGGGGAGGGAGAAGGAAAGGGGGAAGGAAGACAAAAGGAGGGAAGTAAGGAGGGAGAAGGGGAAGAGAGGAAAGAATGGAGGAAGAAAAGGAGGGAGAAAAGGAGGGAAGGAAAGAGAAGGGATAGTGAGGGGTAGGAAGGGAGGAGGGAGGGAGGACAGAGTGGGTAGGGAAGGAGAGAGATGAGCCAACAGAGGGGCATAAAGCATGGAGTCTTAGCATTCCTACATTAAAAAAGAGGGGGAAAGAGGAGGAGCCAGCAAAGGAAACGGAGCAGGAGGAGCGTGGAAAGAGTCTAGTGCCTGGAAGGCAAGGCATTTGAGAAAGGAGGATGATGGACTGTCCAATGGTATGCAAGTAGGTCAAGCAAGGTGAGACCTAGGAAGGAATAATTAGGTTGATCTGTAGATGTAGCATCCAGTGGAGTGATAGAAACCAAGCTCATGGCATATCACAGAGAAATGAATGAAAAGAAGAGACAAACGGTAGAGAGAATAAGAGCACAATGGTCTGTGTAGATCACAAAGCCTTCATGTCCACCCAAGATCCTTCTGTCCTGTACTGAACACTGCACACATACTTTATACCTCACTTTTTTTCATTCAAATTGAAATTTCCCTGTGACCAAGCACAATTGGATTCATGAAACACTCAAGAATTCCCTCATCCCACAAGTTTTGTGAAAACATAAAGAAATATACGATTTGACATTGCATTTTAGAAGCTTATAGCGTGGAAGGGGCAGTGTTAATATGTATGTATCATATTTCAGTTCTCAGGCTCCAAGAGTGTCTCCTGAATGAACATGGGATTTTAAAATCCACCAATCTTTTTGGTCAATTTTCTCATCTTAAAAGTGAAGGATTATAACCAAATGGCCTCTAAATTGCCCTCTGGCTTTGGTTTCAGTTCCTGTTGTGTTTTTATCTTGCTTCTATCAGAAAAAAAAATTTTCCAGTGGTTGCCTTAGATACAGTCAATAGTTGGTTAAAGTCATCATACTTTATTTAGCATATGGTAGCTTTTAAAAATAAAACAAAGTATGAAATCATAGTAGTTATTACTTAAAAAACATAAGTTTTCTTAGGGAAAACATTTTATAACGTCCATGGAAAATTTCATAAAATATTTATGTAGTATATCAGAAGTTCAAACACCAAGGTATCACTCACACTCACAGATTACTTGCTGAAATGCAATGCCAGTGAGATATGTCAGACAAATCCAACATTTAAGTGTTTGCTACAATTAAATATAAGTTCTTAGATTTGCTATTTCTTTATGACAGAAAATTCAAAAATCAGTAAGCTCAAATTCACTCACACACAATGAAGACACCATGGACCCGTCACCGAGCTTCTTAGCAATTTACATTCCATCGTCTTGACAACATTCATAAGCAGTAAATCCAATTTTTGTATTAGTCCTTATTCACTCTTTTATCATAAGCACCTTGCATGATGCTTGAAATATAGTCATCTCTGAATAAACACTTGTTGAGAGAATGGGGATCACTGATAATACTTGCAAACTGACTCACTGTGTAATTATCTGAAAGAGTAATCCTTGTCCATAGGATACCAAGACCAGTTTTAGCACTAGTAGGTCAGGAGCAGGAACCAAGGATCCAACTACCTCCTCAGAGTTTGGTCTTTGGAATGAGAGTGGGCTGTTTGTTTTACACTCTGGATCAAATTAGAGTTGATTTCACTGTATCAGCACTGCATTTCTGTGAACAAGAGCATCAACTTTCAAAACTCTAAGTAATGAGATAGTCCTTTCAGATCCAAATCCGTCCATATACATACATACATACATACATATATATATATATATATATGTATGTATGTATGTATAAAGTGTATTGAGTAGGATGTCTGGAGCTCTTGTATCATACTCAGGAACTGCATGATTAGCCAGCCTTAGAGCAGCATAGTGGGAATGTTGACAAGCCTCAAAGGCAGGTAATTTGGACTTGAACCATCAACAGCATGGTGAGCCTAAGTGAGCAAAATCCATTTTCAAAGTCATAATTTATTTGTCAACTGATGATCTTCCTGCTCTACTGTGAAGGTCAAATGAATTTTTTTGTAAATTTTAAGGTTTATGTGATGGATTACCACACATTTGCTAGCTTTTATTGACCTGCAGTTGTATAGGTCAGAAGTCTAGGGATGTCCCAGCAGGGCTCGCTGGTAGGGGTTTTCCAAGATGGAATCAGATGTTATAGCGGGTGTGATTCTCATCTTCCAAGAATCCAGTTCATCACAGAAGCCTTTTTCCAGGGCAGCGAAAGAACATCTGCTTCTGTTTTTGACAGTTTTTAGTGTTCACTTGTTTGGGCACCTCAGGATAATCCAACTTTTAATGCACTCACATTCCACTGATTAGGGACCTTAATTACACTGACTCAATTCTTTGTGCCATCAAAAGTACCACACAGTACATTGCTGTCCAATTTTGTTCCCTGGTTTCCCATTCTGGAGGAATGAGTGTTCTACATGTTATGAAAACCAAGGCAGGAGACTTGGGTTCATCTTGGAATTCTGCCTACTACAGTGTATGCCATGGTTGTAAACAATGCCCATTGAATGTGCACTTTTCAAAACATGTCCTTATTTAATTATGTCCCAGAGCATATGAAGTTGTTCCTTGGGACAAGATGCTACCACCAAAACTTGATCCAGAAGAAACAACAGTAGAAAAAGCTGCTGACCTCATCTCACCGAGTTTTACACTGAAAAGATACAAAAAAGTGCCAGCCATAACTCAGGTGAGCAAACATCCCTAACAACAATGGATTTCTTACTGTTACCAAACTGAACTCCAAAATCTTTGTCAAAATAATATTCACTTGTTAAGAATTGCATATGGAGTTGAAAATTCCATAATCATGAAAATTATTGATAACTAAAAATAGTTTATTATTCAGTTATTATCCACACTGAAAATATTTGCTACTTAAAGACTATCTCCTTCTTTAAAGTCATTTGCAAAGAGTGTTTATTTTATTTTACATTTTTATTATAATGTTGTTGTACATTGTGGCATTTACAAAAGTTCTTAGAACTTTTGAATATATCACAGTTGAATTCACCTCCTCCGTCATTCTCCTTTATCCCCTTTCCCCCATTCCTGGAGTAGTTTCAACAGGTCTCATTTGTCCATTTTCATACATGAGTACATAACATTTCCACCACATTCACCTCCTTCACCATTTCTTTATATCCTCCCCCCGCACTGGTACCAACCCCCCAGAAAAGAGTGTTCATTTTTAAAGTTGCAAAAGAATGAGCAAGTAATGAAGGACACAGAAAGAAATGATTAAACCAGATAACCTATGCTGGAAATAAGATCTAGAATAAATGTAGCTTTGTATTCTTCAAAGTAAAACAGGGAGGATCCATGGATCAGAGGTTGCTGTGTGATGTCTCTGATTATCTGATAAAACAAAGCATCCCAAGCTGTCAGGACAGATATCCATTCTCTGTATATGAATTCTTAATAGCAAGGAGAACTCATCACATAGATTGTTTATCCATACCACAGATGCAGTACTTTTTCTAAAGTATGAATCTGTACATATTACTCCAGTAATTTAACCCATCATTTTTTCATAAAATGAAATCCATGCTCCTTGAGAAGACTTACACCCAATGCTCCATTATTTCCCCACAACTCCATTCTCTCTACCTGCTTCCTGCCTTCCTCTTGCTCTTCCCCTCTGTGAACCAAATTTTGACCCATACTGTATTCTGTCCTCTCTCCACTGAACATCTCCTCAAACCCAAGTCTGACATGCCCTTTGCCAGTCCTAATGTTTGCAAAAGTGTTCCACTGCCTCCATCACCCTGACTGTGCCAGGATGAACCCAAGCATTCTTCAGGTCTCATCTTAGCCCTTGCTTTTGACCTTGCAATACTGCTTTTGATGTCCCTACTCCATGTTTGCAAGGCATCTTTTACTCCTGTTGATTCCCTTGTCCTTTGGGGCCATAGCTCACTACTGAAAGTGTGCATCAGCTATTGGACTATTTCTCATAAGGAACTTTCTGAATACACAAAACACATAGGATTAAAACAGGACACCAGTTACATTGAAATGCAGTTATAAGCCTAGATACCCATGTGGTCCCTGAAACCCAGATTGAGAAGCCCACACTATCTTGAAAATTTTCTTCAGCTTTTATAGGGAAAATGGTCACAAGAGAGAGGAATCATCACTTAATTATAAAGAATCTGGGTTTTCACATAGAAGCTAGAATCAGTTAAAGGACAAAAAAATGTATGTGGTTCCATTTATTTTTAAGGATCTCTCAACTACTTCAAAATATTTTTTAAAATGTGTCATTTCATTACATTTTGCTTGTGTTAAATTTGACTGATATGCAAAGTCCTTCCCAGGCAAGACACTCTTCAGAGTTCAGGAGCTAGGTTGGGCAGGTAGGGGGATAAGGTGAGTCTGAGACAGGTTGGTGTCTAGTGCAAACCAAAGCCAGACCTTTTACCTGGGCTGGGAAAGAAAGAGGTGGATATGGGGTGGATTCCAGCTCTGAGAAAACAAGCTGGAAACAGGGGTCTGAGAGCAGGAGCACAGCCAGTAGTTTCTGGGATGCCTGGAGAGGGCTTCCACAGAGCCTGGGTTTGGCCATGACATGAGAAGGACAGGCAAGAACGGAAGCTTATATCCCTAACACTTGATCTAATGACTTGATCACTAAGTATCTCTCACTCGTTTGGAATGGTTTCAGATGGTCGGTGGGCTCTGGGACAGATTTCAGACAAGGTCATTCTCAACACCAGTCAGACCAGTCAACTTGTAAGTTTGATCTCCTAAGGCTCTCCTTGCTACTTATTGCATACTTTTCATTAATTATCTGATGTCCTCACCCACAGGGGCCTGTTGCCTGAGGTTAAGTATTCCAGAGATCCTCAACCCGGTATCTTGGGACTGGGAAGATGGCCAGAATCTAAGCTCAGTTGCTCAATATCACCTCCTTTCTTTTTACCTTCTTAAAATCTAACCATCTTTTAAATTTTATTTTGGGAGTACTTGAATTTGAACTCAGGGCTTCATGTTTCCAAAGCAGGCTCTGTCTCTTGAGCCACACCTCCAGTCCATTTTGCTGTTTTTTTCTGGAGATGGCATTTTGTGAGCTATTTACCCAGACTGACCTCGAACTGTGATCTTCCCGATCTCAGCCTCCCAAGTAGCCAGGATTACAGGTGTGAGTCACTGGTGCTTGACACCACAGCCATTTTTAAAGTAGAGAGTACTTTATAAACAATTTGATATAGACAGTTACAACTTGACAGTATCACATGGACTTCTTATAAAAGGAATTGCACATTATTTTCTATTAACTTTTGTGTCTGTTATTTTGTGTTTTATTAATGTTAGAAACTATACCTTTATTTCTAATATTTTCCCATGTGTAATTCTGTACATTTAGTATAAAAAAACCTTGGTGTTTCTGCCTTTGGACATGTCACTGTTTTGTCTATTTTTGTTCTCACCACAACCTACAACTCAGGTTATCTTCTCTTTTTATTTTTTAAATTCATTCTTTAATATTTTACATGCATACAATATATAAATATGACATAATCTGTGGATCTGCTCCTGGCTGTACACATAAACTATTACCAGCACAATAGAAGGTCCCTCTGTGCCTCTCTGTAAGCAAATCTACTTCTTGCAGGGACCACATCTATTCTGGATCTGAGGTCCCCCATTTTCATGAATTCTTTTAATTCTTTAAAACTTGATATTGGAAATGGATAAATGAATTGAACAGAAGTGCAAATGGCCAATAAATACATAAGAACTGTTCAACATCCTTAGCCATCAGGAACTTGAAAACCAAAATGGCACTGAAATTCCATTTCACTTCAATCAGAATGGCTATCATCAAGAAAACAAAGAACGAATACATCTAACAAATGTTGGTCAAGGGTAAAGGGTGAGAATGTAAATTTCCAGCCACTATGGAAATCAATATGGAGGTTTCTCAAAAAACTGTAAGTAGAACTGCCATATCATCCAGCTCTACCACTCCTGGGTATATTCCCAAAGGAATCAAAGTCAGCATAATGTAGAGATACCTGCAAACTTGTGTTTATCATGGAGCTATTCAGCTTCATTCAAGTTGTGGAATCAAGCCTAGGTTCCCATCAGAAAATGTGGTATATATACACAATGGAGTATCCTCCAGCCATAAAGAAGAATGAAATTATGTCATTTCCTGGATGATGGATAGAACTAGAAGTCCTTATGTTAAACAAAATAAGCCAGACTTAGACAACTATCACATGTTTTCTCTCATGTGTGGAATCTAGATTTTTTTTAATCTTGAAAGTACAAGGGGGACTATTTGGAAACATGAAGGGGAACAATGGTGTGGAGGTCACAAGAAAGGGTAATGGGGGTGAATATGATCAAAGCACATTATATACGTACATGAAAATGTTATATTGAAGCCCATTATTTTGTACATTTAGTATACATTAACAAAAAACCCTATTATTGTTACCAATAAATGGTATTAGGTTCCTTTTTAAAAAATAAATTCAATGTAAGTGGTTATCATGCATAGTTTTATGACACTTAACATTTTGTCCACTATTGTGCTTCAAACATTCATCTAAATTGGCATTTGGATCTCTGCTGCATAGTCTTCTATTGAAAAGATATACTATAATTTTTCACCCATTCACACAGTGTGATTTTTTTATAATTTTAATTGCAGTTGAAAGAACATTCATATATCTTTATCCAAATATAAACATGTTTCTGGGTTTGGCAAATGAAAATTTGGGCCCACAAGTGATGCTTCCAGAGGTGTGCACTTCTGTACCTATAGCTGCTTCCCTGTTCTTCTCCAAATGAGTTTTATCAGTGACATCTCCCAACCACTGTACCTAAGTTCCCATTACTGCACATTGAGGACAGTATTTGGAATTTTCAGACTCAAATCAATTTTTTAGTCTTATCAGCATGAAATTGTACTTCATTATAATTTGAGCTTCCATCTACCTGATTATGTGTAATAATTTTTGCAAATTTGTCAGTAACTTGGATTTCCCCATGTATAGCTTACCCACTCAAATATTTTGCCTCTTGTTTTTTACTTATTCATTGCAGAGATTTTATGCTTAATCTCTGGATAAAAATCCTTTATTGGCAATACACACCAAAATATCTCCTTCTAGTCTCTGACTTTTGTATAGTAAGGTGACTTTTTGCTGCACTGAAGTTTGATTTCTAATGTAAATCAGTTCATATTTTCCTTCATGCCTTCTTGCTTTTATGGAGTTTTAGAAAAACTTTTCCCTAATCTGAAACACTGAAAATATTCTCCTCCTTTGCTTATTTGCTTCTAAAATATTAAAAGTTTTGCTTTTCATATTTTTTTCTTTAAACCACTTGATGCTTATTTTCACTTATGGTGTAAGTTTGGAATCCATTTTTTTCAATATAAGTAAGTTATTACACTACTTCAGTCAAAGTAGACTCTAATAAGTAGTTCATAGATAATGTGTAGACTGACACTTGCTAACTTTTTGCTCAGGCTGGCTCCAGCCATGATCCCCTGAATTCTGCCTCCTGAATAACTGGAACTAGGCAATTTTCAGAGTTTCTGATAGTGAAGTCGGTCATCACCTGAGTGTGAGGGTTAATCTTCTACACTTAACTCTGTATTTACCAAGTTACAACTGGTAGCAAAGCAAAATGCGGGAGTCATTGGTTCAGAGTTAGCAAAATTCACCAGAGTTTTCTCATATATTTCAGTTACAAAAAATAATACCAAGGATGGCAATTTTCAAGTTTGACAATTACATTATTTCTGTAAAACTAGTATGAAGTGCCTTTGAAAGAAATATTTTTCTATTAGAAGGAAAAAGAACAATGATGTGAGACTATACAAAGCATGAATAATCAAGTCTGATTGCAGGATCTACAAATGCAAAGTGATAATATTAAGAATAATATTGAATCTTGTGGAAAAAAACTTATATTTTGTTGAGTCAAAAAGTAATGTGCAAGATTCTTGATAAATATCATTTAAAATGTCATGTTTTCAAATGTGTAAAACATCCCAAAAGAATCCAATATATAAATTGAGTAATAATAATTTATATAAAATATTGAAACATTCAAAAACTTTAAAAATCCTCATAGATACAGCAAGCTGGAATGATTGACAATCCCATTCAAATATCTTTTTTAAAAGGATGCAATTTTGGTACTAATTCTTAATACATGAATATTAATTTTAAAAACTTTTTTGTTCACATCTTTTTATTTCCATATCATGTAGTAAAAGAGCTCATTCAGATGATAAATATTTATTCCAGTTTATATGGGTCCACTGAATTTTAAATTTTTCTTTGGTGGTCAATCAGCTGGAAAATGAAAGCTATTTGTCTTAGTCAATAATTCCATACCTCAGATATTCCTCAGGGGACTGTTCACCCTACAGATTTCCCTGTGGAGATTTGCTCCCAAGAGCCTACAGAAAATCTGCATGTGTAACAGCTTTACTCACAATCTCTAAAATCTAGACACAACCAAGATGTCGTGCATTAGGTGAATGGATAGATAAACTAGAGCTTTTAGTTGCAATGTTACACTGCTTAGCAATGAGAAAGAACAAGTGTAACCTACAGAAATATGGAGAAGACTCTTTTTGAAAGAGCATCTCACTATGTAGCCCAGGCTAGCCTTGAACTCACCATCCTCCTGATGCTGGGATTACAGAGGGGAGTCACTATGCCTAACTAGGGACAAATCTCAATTGTATTTTGGTCAACGAAAGCATCCAGACCCAAAGAGTTAAGCATTATTTGCTTCCATTTCTGTGACATTCTGAGAAAACCACGTCTTTAAATGATTTCTAAGGTTTTAGAGCTCAGTTCCTATATGCTATATCTCTGAAGAACTTTCATTTTGTTTTTTTTTTTTTACTTAAGTACTAATTTATTTCCTGTTAAATTCTTTATTTTTAAAATTTTTTATATATCTTATTTTTTAATTGTTGTGCTGGGTGGGGGTACATTGTGGCAATTACAAAAGTTCTTATAATATATCAAATATATCATACTTGAATTCACCTTCTCCGTCATTCTCCTTTCCTTTCATTTTAATTAGAGAAATATTGTAATAACTTGGTATTTATTAATGATGTCACTAACCCAACTGCCCATGTTTTCTCTCGTCTTAAGTGTGAGTTCAAGTTCCAGAAGTAAATACATTCCTTTCTATACGTAAGTAATGTTTCCCAGTGTCTTTAAAATACCAGATTTATATCTAAATTGTAGTTGGTTTCAGATCACTCATGTTTGCATTCACTCTTCAGGTGACATGTGTTATGTGTCCTAACAGATTTGCCTGTTCAGTGTCAGGAGTTCCATCCTGACACTGAAGATTTGTTGAAGATTTTGATTAAATGAAAAGATTTTGATTAAATTAAAAGAAAAAAAGGACAAGGAACATTTTTCTGTTTTCCTAAATAGGATACATTATGAAATAAAATAGCTTGAATGTTACTACTAGTGTCACCTGAGAAAAGTCTGATAATTGATGGGAGGGGTATGATGTCCCCATTAACAATGAAGTGCAGGAAATGGCCTTTCTTATTTTTGTACATTTAAATGTGACTCTCTCTGTAGGTGGCACAGAAGTGCATGATCTGTCCTTGGGTTTTTTTTTTTTTTTCTTCTTAGTTTGAAGAATACCTTGGGATGAATGAGGTCAGAGAACCTGCTTTCCCTCCCTGCCATTACTATCTCCCTTCTGAATTACAGTAGAGTTGACTAGTGCTTCTACCAATGGCCCCAGGAGTCCTCAATACACTGTCCACTGACATCACTCAGCCTGTGGACTTTGCTTAGCCTCCCAAGCCTTATCACTAATGCCCTGAGTTCCTGGTACCTCCTTCAGCTCCATCCCTAAAAGGGCTTTATTATCTATGGCAGACTCCAACCTCCATTGGACCCCAGGCCTCCACTTCATGTCTGGGGAAAGGCTGGTCCTGGGGCCACATACATAACCTGCTTCTATACTCATAAACTGAGCAGCTCTTACTCTCACTTCACCTCAAATTTCAAATCAAAAACCCTGACACCTTGTACTCCAAAGAAGAAAAACATCATCTTAAATTTCTTCAGGCAAACCCTTCCATCATCACTTTAATTTTGCCTCCTGAGCTTTTGGTCTATTTTGGCAAATATATTTTCCCTTAGAAGTTAGAACAGTCCTCGCAATTTCTTCTAAGTGTCTTACAAAGAAACATGCCTGCTTTTCTTTTTCAATCAAACAGTGGTCACATGCAGACAACAAATGTAGATGACATTGACAACCGTTTTGGAGACATAACATCCCTAGCCAAGCCTCGCCACTCTAAACTGCTTTATACAAACACAAGTCGGTGAGTAAGACTCACAATTATTTTTCTTGTCTTATTGCTAATGATGATGCATGCTGATGGGTTCTATAACAAGTGAAGAGGAAAAATGGTCTGGCTTGTTATTTAACATACCTTAAGAAAAAAGATACCAGGTTCTTGAAAGAAATGTACTAGAAATGTACTTTGTCGCCAAGAAGATAACAGTTTTGGAGATTCACCTGGGGTCCTTCAGCAAGCCACATCTCTGTGACTTTAGCGTCTTCCTTTGAAACTCACGGCACAAAATGCCACCAAGCAAAGGATTGGGGATAGGGTGTGGTGGATCAATAACATTGGTTAAGTATCAGAGATCATTATTAAGTTTGGAAAGCTAGGTTCTTTTCCAAACACTTGTCTTTCACTACTAGAGTCCAAAAACTGATTGGTTGGGAGGATGACAAGCGCAATCTAGAACCCTGGAGGTGTTTGTTCCGAGATAGGCTGAGGAAGGACAGAACACTGTCAATACCCAGTTTTGATGTTTAGGACTTCTACCACAATCATTCTTGTGTGTATGTGTGTGTGTCCATCCAATCATATCCTCTTAGACTTAGAATGCAGTGACCCCATCCTAAGTAACAAATGCACTGATCATGGCTAACCTACCAAGCATCCTAACTTGGCAACACAGCATCATGTAGTGTGAGGTCCATCACCCTCGTGATCACAGAGCTGATGGGAGGTAGGTGCCACTACCCAGCATCTCAGCAGAGAATCCAACCACATAGAGCTAGAACAAGAGAAAACTGAAATTCAAATTCAGTTGAATACATAGCATTTTTGTACCACCATTAAGTTGGAAAATAGGTTGGACCACTGTAAGTCCAAGATCATACATTACAAAGTATGTATTTATTGTTTATATCTACTACAAATATACATATATAATAGAAATACATATACTTCTACTGATGGGAATACTGAGGCTCAGAGAGGTTAAAATACAGTTGTCCTTTGGAGTGGGGATACAGGGATTAGTTCCAAAACTCCCACAAGATCAAAATTTGAGGACATTCATGTCCCTTATATGAAATAGCTTGGTATTTGCCCAGAGTCTACACTCATCCTCTCATATATTTTACATCATTCCTAGATTATTTATAATACCTACTACAGAGTAATGCTATGCCAATAGTTGTTACACTGTATTATTTAGAAGTAATGCCAAGAAAAGAAGTTGTGCATAGCCACATTTTTTCAAATATTCTCATTCTGCTGTTGATTCAATCTGTGGACGCAGAACTGGTAGCTACAAAAGACATATTATACTTCTCCAGGATCCCAAAGACAGGCTTGAAATTAAAGTCATACTCTCTTTTCATTACACCACTGTTTACCAAATATTAGGAGGCACTCTTCCACCACTTTCTGTAATAATTCACAAATCTCCCAAGGATTTTATACAAAACCACAGCATGAATCACCACAGTATTTTAAATGCTAATTAATATCTAATGTTTTAAAGCATTGATTAGGCCCAGAAGACAAAGTGGTTAAATTTCATATTAGCTACCCTTCTGACATATTTTATGGTCTGTTCAATGTATGCTACTATAATTTTGAATTTTTCTGTTATGTATCTTATCTAATTTCTTTGAGTATCCTATAAACTATAAAATATGTTCCAAAGTTCCAAAGCTTTAAAATATATTTATGTAATCTCTCTCATCAAAGAAGTCAAGAACATTTACCTAAGATTGGAGACGTAGCTCAATGATAGCAGACTTGTCTCACATGTACAAGGCCCTGGGTCCTAGCTTCAGAAACGCACACACACACATGCACACACACACAGTAAAAATGTCTGTCTAATTTATTAGTAACAATCTAAATTTGTTCCTACAATGCTCCAGGTTCTGTGCCAAGAACTGTAGTAATTTAAAGATAAAAAAGGAAAAGAATTTGCCCTCAAGGAGCTAAAAGTCTTGGAGGATAGATAAGGTCTATACACAAGTAATTATAAAGCAGTATGAAATAAATCTCAGAATTCAGCTGTGATTTTTTGAAGGACAGCCATAGAGAGGAATCATTTTTATCCTTGGGACTTGACTTGAAGGCCAAGTACTGAGGAAGGCGTCAGGGGTTATGATTCTTCCATTATAACCACTAAACATAATAATTGAAAAATTTTAAAGGAAGTATATAAGAATAAAAGCAATTTTAAAGCCAGCATAAAGTTTTAATACCATTTCTTTTTAAAAAATGTTTGAAGTTTGAAATGTTTTATGAAACACTCTTGCTAAAGAATCAAAACATACTCTTTTGGTTCGTTCTTCAAAAACAGTGAAAAGTTTGATGTGAAAAGATATCATTTCGCTTGAGTAAATTTGGGACAATGCAACTCTACCTCATCTGGCTGATAGTTGCTGTTTTAAAGGACGGTTTAAGACATTAACTAACCTTCTCCTATTTGGACACTAGAGGGCATCCAAGGTTGCAAAGTTTCTTCTTCCCTTAATTGGTTTTCAGTTTTTAACACAAACCTCACCTTTTAACACAAAAAAAATTTCCAAGTTTTATTATGAAATATTTACAGATGTGAAAAGATACAGTGTCACGTCTAACATATAAAATAACATAATGCATGCCCGTGTATTCCCCACTTAGCTTAAGAAATAGATGTTTTCAGAAACCTTTTCAACTACCATCTCTCCCCTGCAAAACTCACTGTCCCACTTCTGGTCCCCAAGCCATAATCCCAGAAGCTGTCCCCATTAGACTTGTACTTATCCCGTGCTTGCTTTACCTAAGAGTTTTTACTACCTACAAATGAACCTCCAAACAAAATCTTTGTGGTTTCCATGTTGATAAAAAGCAAAACAGAGAAGAATATATAAAATGTCATACCATTTGCACAAAAAAGACATCTGGGTTTGAACCCAGAAACACATCTTCTTATTTTGTGTCAGGTAAGGAATAAAAGTTCTGTCCTACTCAGATGCAAAGGTGACTCTTCCTGAGTTTTTGCATCTTAAAGTTTCCTTTAGAGAAATATCATTATGGTGTTATCTTTGGAGTCTTCTGCGTGGCTGATGGTACACAATCATGCCTGGGGAGCCATGACTCAGCCCCCCCACCCCACAAGAAGCTACATTCCAGGCAAGGGTCACAGCCACCGATTTCCAATGCTTTAGTCCTTGTAGTCACCAATTTCCCTCAGGGTCAACGTTTTTCAAGTTTTCCTCATTAGCTGATTATTTACTTTCTGGTCACCAGGTCTTCAGGCATGGCAGTGTTTTTCTATGTTGATGGAGATTGCACTAGCAGTTTAAAATATAGCTTGTCATTTTAAATGTAGACTTGAGTCTGATCAATGTAGAAAAACTACAGAGAAATAAAAAGCTAAAAATGCAACCAGACTCACACAAAAATAAAAACAATCTTAATATTTTTGCCTTTTTCCATCAGTCACCTGCATTTTGGTCTTGCATTTGTATATTTATATAGCTACTCCTACTACACAGAGTACCTTTGCCACCATAACATTACAGCATAATCATGGGCACATGATTTCATAAACACCATAATTTCTATTTGTGCAGGGGTACTCTAATTGACATTTGTTTAGGTTACATATGTAAATAGTTCCCATATTTTGCTATAATAAATGGCTCTCTCATATACTTTTTACATTAATATTTTGTAATTTAAAACTAGTTATTGGGCTGGGATGTAGCTCGGTGGTACAGCGCTTGCCTAGCATGCGTGAGGCCCTGGGTTCGATCCCAGCACCAAAAAAAAAAAAAGAAAAAAGAAAAAAATAATAAATAAATAAATAAAAACTAGTTATTTAGGGGAGAACTCTTTCAGATAGATTCTGGGGTCAAGCTATACATTTTTAAGCCTATTGTGAAATCATTTTTGGAAGTACTATAAAAATTTGCAATAGAACTAGTATTTATGCTCTTCTTTCATGTTAGTACAGAAACTCATCAAATATCATCTTTTTATCTTTCAAATGTGTTCATTATAAAAACAATTCAAGTATTTTTAAAGTCAAGAAAGTAAAGCATCTCTTTCACTTTCAATCACAATATTAAAGTTTCTGATTTCTTTTTTTAAATTATATTATTGTTCTACTGGGGGTGCATTGTGACATTTACAAAAATGCTTATAATATATCATAGTTGAATTCACCCCCTCCATCATTCTCCTTTATCCTCCCCTTGTGATTTCTTTACACTCCCTCCCCCTTTATGTATGGATGTCAGTCATGTGTAAGTACATGAGATTGTGTGGACATTCACATAGAGAATGCATGTGTGTAAGATGAAATATGCACTGGACATTTCTGCTGTATTAAAATCTTTTTAATGGTTGGGCAGTATCCCACAGTAAAGACCATATAAAGATTTTATAGGCCAAGTTATGACTAAATATTTATTTCTTTATATAGCTTCCATCTTCCTACATAAAGCATTTTACCACCTTAACATTACAGCATAATCATGGGCCTAGTAGTTCTATTGTAAATTATTATAACACTTCCAGAAAATGATTTAGCAATAAGCTTAGAAATGTATAGTTTGATCCCAGAATTTTTTTCAAGGAGTCTCCCCTAAGTAAATAGTTTTAATAAAGAAAAAACAACATCTTCATAATCATCATACAAATTTACCTGCATGCCTGTAGATCAAATCCCCAAAACAAAAATTCTCCCTGAGTTTTCTCATTAAAATCAAAAGATTTCTTATGCTGAGTTACTAAAAAGCATTTGAAACTAAGGAATTCCAAAGGAAACACTTCAAAATATGGTTTCCTCTGCATTCCCCCTAACTTACAATGCCAGACTAATTTAGAAACTAGGACACTCGAAATAACCATCAGGTTTAACAGGAATGATTGAGGCTCAGGATAGTGACATAGCCTTTTCATTTCTTCCACAGATACATGCCGTTTAGTGTTCAGGAACATTTTGGAAACATAGAAATTCACCTTGCCCTCCCCCATTTCTAATCTCCATCAAGCAGAAATGTTAAGGA